TATAAGGTATTTGTTGTTTGGTGTTGCTTTTAAGATGTCATATGGGGGGCGCCTGAGTGGCTCAGTCGGTTAAGCGTCCGACTTCAGCTCAGGTCACGATCTCGCCGTCCGTGAGTTCGAGCCCCGCGTCGGGTTCTGGGCTGATGGCTCAGAGCCTGGAGCCTGCTTCCGATTCTGTGTCTCCCTCTCTCTCTGTCCCTCCTCCACTCATGCTCTGTCTCTCTATGTCTCAAAAATAAATAAACGTTAAAAAAAATAAAAAAAAAAAGATGTCATATGGGGCAACTTTTGTATCCCCATGGTTTGTGGAAGTGTAGAATGGCCCAGATGTTTAAGAAAATTATTTGGCCACCTGTAGTAAGTGTCCTTAAAAAGTTACTATCAATAACGAACTTCTAAATAGCCCATGAGAGAAAACGGAAATAACAATGAGAATCATAAAATATTTAGAGCTGAACAACCATGAGAGTACCACATATCAAAACTTGTAAGTTTTGATAGAAGTAATGTATGGCCCTAAAAACATGCATTAAAAAATGTAAGACTAAAAATAAGTGGGTTAGGGGTGCCTTGGGTGGTTCAGTTGGTTAAGTGTCTGACTCTTGGTTTCAGCTCAGGTCATGATCTCACAGTTGATGAGTTCGAGCCCCATGTTGGGCTCTGTGCTGACAGCAAAGAGCCTGCTTGGGATTTTCTCTCTCCCTCTCTCTCTGCCCCTCCCCTGCTTGCTCTCTCTCCCTCTCTCTAAATAAATAAACTTAAAAAAATAAAATAAAATTAAGTGGGTTAGGATGAATGGATAAGCAAAACATGGCCTATGCATACGGTGGAATACTATTCAGCCCTAAAAAAGGAAGGATGAACCTTGAGGACATTATGCTAAGTGAAGTAAGCCAGTCACAAAAAGACAGGTACTGTGTGATTCCACTCACATAGCATATTTACAGCGGTCAACTATCATAGAGGAAAGAAAGTAGAATGGTGGCTGGGGAGGAAACAATAGAGAATTCTTGTTTAATGGGCATAGATTTGCAGTTTTACAAGATGGAAAGAATTTTAGGGATGGAGGGTGGTGATGGCTGCACAAAAATTTAATGAATACCACTGACTTACACACTTAAAAATGGTCAAAATGGTTTTTAAAAAGCAGATTAAGTGTTCAACTGAAAAGACTTTAATAAAAAAGAACAGATAAAACCTGTGAAGTAGAAAAAAGAAAATAATAATGATAATAGCACAAATTAAAGAAATAGAAAACCAAGAAGCAATAGGGAAGATCTGCAAAACCAAAGCTAATTCCTCGGGTTGGGGGAGGGGAATGGAATACTGATAAAGAAGTCAAACCTCTCAAGACTCACCGGAATAGGCACCCATGAGTAACATTAGGAATGAAAAAGGATACATAATACAAATACAGGAAGGTTTTTTTAACTGGTTGAAATAGATAACTTTCCTTTTTTAAAATTTTTTTTTTAACATTTATTTATTATTGAGAGACAGAGAGAGACAGAACGTGAGCAGGGGAGGGGCAGAGAGAGAGGGAGACACAGAATCCAAAGCAGGTTCCAGGCTCTGAGCTCTCAGCACAGAGCCCGATGTGGGGCTCGAACTCACAAACCACGAGATCGTGACCTGAGCTGAAGTCCGACACTTAACTGACTGAGCCACCCAGGTGCCCCAAAATAGATAACTTTAAGTAGCAAACTACTAAAATGTATGTAAGAAATAAAAAACGAGTTAATAGTCATTAGAAAAACTGAATTCTTAATAAAAAAATTTATTTTTCTCCTCAGTCCCAAAAAGGCATCGGGCCCAAACAGTTCTGTAGGTGAACTTAAATAAAATAACAGATAGTCCTTATTTCATAAAAATTGTTTCAGAGCTCATTTAATGAGGACAATATATGACCTTGATATCAAAACTAGATTAAAATGGCACAGTAAAAGAATTCTAGGGGTGCCTGGGTGGCTCAGTCGGTTAGACGTCTGACTTTGCCTTGGGTCATGATCTCACAGTCCATAGGTTTGAGCTCCATATCAGGCCCAGTGCTGACAGCTCAAAGCCTGGAGCCTGCTTCAGATTCTGTGTCTCTCTCTCTCTCTGCCCCTCCCCCACTCACACTCTGTCTCTGTCTCTGTCTCTCTCTCAAAAATAAATAAATGTTAAAAAATTTTTTTAAAGAATTCTAGAGTGAGCTCACCTATAAACACAGGTACAAAACCTCTAAATATCAAAATACATCATGAACATTTCCAAGATGTAGTAATGACCCAATATCAGAAAATATATTGATATAATATACCATATTAACAGATTAAAAGAAAAAACTGATTACCTTAATGGATACAGAAAGAGCATTTGAAAAATTAGTAATCATATCTATCTTTTTTCCCCCTTACAATTAAGAATAGAAGATCATTTCCTTAACCTTCTAGAGAGTAAGTATCGAAAGCCAACAGCAAACATCACACTTACTGTTGAACCTCTGTGTCTGATCATTAAGGTCAGGAACAAAGCAAGGATGCTTACCACCCCCACTCTGGGAGATCCCAGCCAAGTTAGGCAGGAAAAATAAATTAATCATTAGAATTGAAACACAAGAAACAAAAGTTTCTTCTTCAGACACTATAATTGCCTCTCTAAAAATGCAAACAGGTCTACATGTAAGCTATTAAAATTAATAAGACCAAGTTTTTGGAAACGAGATAAACATACATAAAGAGTAATATTTCTGAACATTATTAATCAAAGTTAAAGATATAACATAATACCAAACCCCCCCCCCACAACCTTTAAGGAGAAAACTATTATTTTGTGTCAACTGGGACAATTAATGAATGAGTGAATTTTATGTTGCATTAGTCAGCAACAGAAAAAAAGTGAAGAGATAGATATGTGATGTTCAAGGGTACAAAAGAATCAGTCTCATGAAGATGGCAATTCTCTTCAGTTGCAATTGTATTTGAAATCTCAGAAGGGAGTAGGACTTTAAAATCAACTTGGCAAGCTGACCCTAAAATTACATGGAAGAACCAAGGCCAATGGGGAGCCTGTGTGGCTTAGTCAGAGAGCATTCAACTCTTGATCTTGGCTTGGGTCATGATCCCAGGGTTGTGGGATTGAGCCCCGCATCAGGCTCCGTGCTAAGCTTCCTCCTCTGTCCCTCCCCCATTCATGTGCACTCTCTCTTTCTTAAATAAAAAAATAACAATAATAAAATAAAATAAATCTAAGTGCTAGGAATAGGCAAGACAAGGGTGAGGAAAATGAACAGGCAGGAAGAACATAGCTAGCATATGCCAAAAATCGAGAGCCCCCAAATAGACCCACATGTGTTTGGAAAGCTGGTCTTATGACAGAGGAGGTATTCCGAATCAGTATAGAAAGGATAGGCCATTTCCTAAGTGGTAGTGAGATAATGGAAAACTAAAAATAAAAATGTCGCCCTTGTACTTTCTATCATATATACACACAAACTCCAGGTCAATTAAACACCTGAATGAGAAAAAGCAAAATGTTTAAAATGAGTAAGTCATATAG